ATCACGTCTATGTTTCTGAGAGTTCGGGTCGGATTGATCCATCGACAGCGGCCTCAATGAAGAAAAATGAATTTCTGTGGCAGGCGAAGCATCCTTTCGTCCTATCACTCATTGACCGTTGATAGTTCAGCCACGAATAACTGAGAGTTAGACCCCAACCTTAATTGAATTTGACAAAAGGTTCAATCATGATTTCGGACATCCATTCACCTGGTGGGTGTGATACACGAGGCAATACTTTCGAAAAAGAAGTGGAAGCTAGAGCCAGTAGACCGTCATTGCAACGAACAGCCAAATTGGCAGGACGAGTCAGCTTGGCCTTATAATCACTTCGGGGACTTGTCTTTCCAAAGATAACGCATGGAAAGCGACATTGTTTCTTGTCGTTTGATCTGTTGAAATGCTAGATTAGAAGCTTTTTATATGAAACCCTCCACATACCTCGTGTTATCAGCGCTCGTAAAGCCGTGTGCGTTTTGACTACGTTTTTCTTTACCACTTCAAATGCACCTTGAAACCTTCCACGATGATATTTTGCTCACGCCCAAAACTTTGGCGACATAAGACAGACTTCAGCGAGATGCCTCAACACATAAGACATCAACAACCCCCGGGTGGGGCCGTTCCGGAGCCGGAGTCAGTGCTGTCGAGTCGTTATCGCCGTCAACTTCGACTCATCTTCGTGCGGAGGTCTCTCAGCCGCATCGATTGTATGGGGACCCTGGCTGATAAGGCTGTAGGTAAAGTCTGGGGTAAAACTCAAAATCTTTTGACAATCCCGCTGAAGATCGTGTGACCCAACCGGAAGCGCTGGATTCTTGATTACAGATAGGTTAATGACCTCCCGCGATCCCCGCGGGGAACCAGGACCGTCTGGTACGACTGATCATTGGCTGAGCGGAATCGGAATTTTGATGCATATGCGGAGATCGAGCATTCATAATGATAGGAAAGTGCGCCGGAATCAACCCGTTTGCTCGGACTTCGATAGACACAATGAGCGCTGGCCTATGGGAAGATCCCCATTGAAGAAACATGGCAATCGCGCGCGATATCAAGGTCAGCTGGGTGATATCTCGTTCTCGCTGACGGCTACCCTTATCCTTCTGGAAAGGCCAAGATAAGCTATGATGGCGTTTGAGTGTAACCATCAGCTTAACGCATCCCAAGTTGCAGCTCTTCGCCCAATAGACTAACAGAACATGAGATACAACTGTATATCACCAATGTAATGACAATGCCGGTCTACCCCTCGTCTCATGCAACGAGCTCCGCGTGGCTGGCTGAGACGTCGGGTATCAGACGAAATATAAATAACAGGATTACCGACTACTACAAGCGCTATCATCAGGTGGGAGATCCCAAGTAAAACCCAGGGTCTCGTGCCTGCCATTGAATTCACATTATACTGTAATATCTATACCTCAGCATGTTTTCTCGTGCTGCCCACAAACCAGGCGCCAAGTTCATCTACGGCATCTTCGGCGTCCAGTACGCAGGCGATGAACCCGCCAGCCGCCAGCTGGACCTCATCCGGTCCTTCGACGCCCTGATCGACGGCAAAGCACACCTCGACCGCATCGTCTACCCCACCAAAAACAAACCGTTCGGCACCCAGATCTGGCTATCATACTGGCACCCCGAGACGTTCGCCGAGTGGTGGGCCAGCCACCCCGTGCAAGACTTTTGGAACAGCCTACCCGACGACGCGGGCGTGTGGCGCGAGACACTGACCGTCGACGTCGGCCGCACCCAGAACGCCTGCACCGCCGACCTGAAGAACGGCGTCAACGGCCTCGGGGAGAAGGAGATGTTCTCTGAAAAGATCGGCTACTGGGGCTGTCTCCGCGACCGCCTCGCCCAGGCCACCGCGGATGAGAAGCTCTCTTCGCCCCTGGCCGAGATGCCCGAGCGAGTGCCAGAGTCAAACGAAGTCCGGCGGGGCCGCACGACCATCACCAAGGTGCCGGACAACATCTGCTTCCTCGTCGAGGGTCAGGACCACTCCGCGATGACGCCCACGGAGAAGACGTACTGGTTCGAGGAGTTCGACGAGCTGGTGACGGGGTGGATGCACCACCTCGGTGACAACGCGGCCGCGAACGGGCTGCTCGACGTCAGGATGGGCTACGTCCCGGAGCACGGCCGCTTCCGCGACCATGAAGGGCCCGTCAACCTGAACCACAACCGCAAGATTGAGTTGTTTTACTGGATGGACATGAGCAAGTTTGAGCAGGCTGGGCGTGTACACAGGGGCCATGTGAAGCTGAGAAAGAAGTGGATGGAGGCGTACTGCCCGGTTGGGCCGATGGGGAATGGGGTTGGGAAGATCACTTTGTGGGAGGAGACGTCAATCTTGAAGAGTGAAGATGTTCAAGCGGAGTATATTGGTTGCCGAGAGGGCACTGGTTTTCTGGCATATGACGGCAGTGCTGCTGTTGAGAGCACGACGGTGGCTCGCTGATACTCGAGATAATGCACGTAATAACAACCCCTTAAACAAGCCGTTACTCAAGTGCGTCTCCCTTCGTCAATAGCGGGTGCTCTAGTAAGTCGATACAGCTCTGGCTCTAAGCCTGGCGCCGTACTTCCATAGGAAAAGAGGTAGGGTGACGGACAGCATCGTGCCCACCAGTGCCATCAGGCTATTGGCCCAGCCATACCCCAACGCGCGATACATGCTGGGCGCAAAGAGCGGGAACAAGAACGCCGTCAAGCTCTCGACGAACTGAGTCGCCGCCATAGCGCTGGTGGTGTGCTCGCCATACGTATCGATGACATAGGCCGTCACTTGTACGAGACTTAGCTTCCGTCTTGGGAAAACGTGGCATCAGGGACTTACAAGGCATGTCGCCCAGCTGCAACCCGAACATCATGATGACCACCCCGACATCGACGACCATCCAGTGCAGCCCATATTGAGCTGTCCACCCATAGATCAAAGCTCCGACCCAGCATGGCACGATGCCAAAGTACATCAGCGTGACGCGGTACTCCGGGCTCGGCTGCTCCCGTCGCCGGTAGAGGTAATCCATCGCCGGCCCACCAACCTGCGCGCCGATCAGCTCCCCCAACGAGCACGCAATGTAATGCAGCCCGCTGATCTCCACAGACTGCCCGTACCGGTGCTTCCACAGGTCGGAGAACGTGGACAGCACCACGTACAGGATGCCGTAGTTGAAGCCCGACAAGACGGCGGACACCTGGATGATGGGGTGGAAGAGCAGAAGACGGAGGGGCCTCGACAGGGCACGCGCCAGGACGCTCGAGGCGGATCTGCCCGCGTCGACTCGCTCGCTGCCCGTGTGGTACCGCGTCTCTCCGGTCTCTCTGCGAAGGCGCGCAGCTCGCCGGCGGAGGATCAGCGGGGCGTAGGACTCGGGGAAGCTGAAGAAGGAGACGAAAATCATGGCGGCTTGGAAGATGGACGTCGACCAGAACATCCACCGCCATGTCGTCCGCGCTGCTATGAAGCCGCCAATAATAGGTCCTGGCACACGTCAGCTTGCCCCCTTGTCCTCACATCAAAGACGGAGCAGACTCACCAACAGCAGCACCGAGCAGCGGAATCAGCATGTACATCCCCAAAGACCGCCCCCTCTGCTCCGGCCGCCAAATATCACCCAGAACACCCCCTCCAAGCGCATAGATCGCACTCGCGCCAAAGCCCGCCAGGAACCGCGCAGCAATCAGCGTGCCCTTCGTCTTGGCGAACCCGCACAGCACGTTCCATATCAGGAACCAGACGCTCGACGCGTGCAGCACGACCTGCCGTCCGTAGATCTCGGACATGGGCCCAATGATGAGCGGGCCAAAGGCCGTGGCGAGGAGGTAGATGGACAGCGCCATGGCGGACTCGGTCGGGGACATGTCGAGCTCGACGGCGATGTTGGTCAGCGCAGGCGCCATGATCGTCGAGACCATGATGCGGTTGAAGCCCGTGGCCGAAAGAACGTCGGTGACCATCCACTTGCGGCCGGCGGGCCAGTCGAGCGGGTTTTCGGGGTCGTGGGGCTCGGCGAAGGTTACCAAGAAGGGGTCCGAGTCTTTCGGGCGGGTGGGGCCGGTGCTCGGTGCCGGGCCCGGCAGGGCGGCGAGTTCGAGGTCTGTTGGACCGGGGGCCAGCAGGATCTCATCTTTGCCTTGAGAGATTTCTGGGGTCATTTTACCAATGTTTGATGCCTCAATTTGTTTTGTTAGGAATCGGTAGTTGAGAAATCAAGTCGGCACTTACAATCCGTTGGGTAAACGAGTCCAATAAGAAGCGGATGTTGAAGTTGCGGTGCCTCTGCTGGACCCAAACCACCCGTGTCAATGATAAGAAGAAAGAATATTGACAATTACATGCCTCGATATGGGTATTGCTTCCTTTTTGGACATCTTTGCTCGGGTTCTAGCGAAGGATCTTCGGAAATAAAGGTGATATCGGGAAGGACCGTTGTGCGTGCCGTTCCTTCGGACCCGAGCGCACTCCGCGCGGCGGTCACCAGTGATGTTTCCGATATGACTGCATTCGTTTAACAATCTAGACTTGCATTAGACTGCCTGTTCCGAATGCTTCTTTGATTGGTGCTCTTGTGACGTCTGCCTGGCCAAACAATGGGAGGCAGCCAATAAGCACTCACCTCAAATACAGGATAGAATGGTCTGCCCGAACAACACCTCCCGAGAAAGTCTGCCCGAACTACTATTCCGAAGTCCACTTCCCGAAGTTGGCTTCCCGATCTGCATCGCGTAAAATCTGTGCCATACTGAACATCGTCGTACCTGCCAATTCTATTTTGAGCCTAGTCACAACCGCAACAGTTGGTCAGTCTCAACACTTTGGTCACGTAGACACATTTATAGGTTATTGGCCCCGGACGGGCGTTGTCAATATTATTGTAAGCAAGCAAGCCGCGACGCGCCTGCTGTATCCTAATTAAACCGATGCAGGTTAATAATGGCCCGTTTCCAATGTGTTACTCTAGCTCGATAGACTGCACCATTCGCGGCGGTAGTCAATTCCTGGTACCCACGCGTCTTCTGCGCGTCGTTGAAGCAATATCCGCTTCTCCAGCCAGCTCGTCCGCATCATTGTCCTCGGCCATCGGCGTATCTTCACCGGTGGCGACACTAGCCGGTCTGGTGTTGCCAGAAGTCGACGCATCTTGTCCTGAGCGACCCTTCTCTGCATTACGGAGCTCTCCTATGATCTTCTCGACCTCTCCAGCCATCGACCTTGTCGACCGAACCACGGCATCTTCATCAACCTCATATCCCAGGGCGTCTGCTCCTTCCGAGGTTTCCATCCTCACGAAGGACGGTCCTGGCCCACGGCTGGGATTCAGATTGTACATGACGGCGTTTGAGAACATATGGAAAAGTTCCCGCTCAAGCTGTGCGCTGTTGATGATGCTCTTGGGGGGGACCAAGTCATCGCCAATGGGCAGGATGACCGTGCCCGTGCCTGGGTCTCCGTCTGGAAGAGCCTTGGCGGCTTCCGTAGCTGCCCGGTTACCGTGAGTAATCGCTGCCCGAATAGATTTAATGTCTTGAGGCTGCAAGATTAAACCCTTGTAGCCAGGGGCGTCGCGTTCACGGATTGGGTTCGCGAACTGATTGGCAAATCTGTGTGCTGAAATTTGATCGAGAGCGGCGGCACTGACACGACCAAACTGGCGCGTCCAACTTACGGTGGTTGGCGGCGCTGCAGGTAGGTCTGTCGGCGTGTCCTGTCGCTTGCGCTTATGGGCCAATCGGGACGCCACGCCGCTGGGTGTAATCAAGTTTCTGCGACTGGCTACACTTTCATCTGCAGTCGTATCTCCGGTCTCGTCGTGCGGCTTGGGCGTAGCCCTGGGCGTCACCCTGGGAGTGGCATTCTCGTCCTTAACTCTCGGTGCCAGATCAACGTGGTCCATGGAAAGCTCGTCCGTTTGAGAAGCGACTGACTGGCTCCTACGCGGCACGCCAACAACTGAGGATGGCGTGCTGCCAGCCCGAATCTTATTTGCACTGCGGGGAGGCCGGCCGCGACCTCTAGGCGTCTTCGTCTCGGGCTTTGTGACCGGCTTCGGGCTAGACTTCTTCGATGGTTGAGAAGGTGTCGATGTGGGCAGTGGAGCCGGCTGCTGAGGCGGGCTCAACGGCTCATAAGCGGGGCTTTGAATTTCCCTTCCGGACGGTCGAGGCGTGGAAGGTGTAGCTTTATTCGTCCACTTGGTTCCGGAGCCCGTGATCAGGAAGTTGGGAGGCGCAGTGACAGGAGTTTGCGGCGGTGGAATGGGCGTGCTTGCGGATCTTTGCGGTGTTGGCGTTGCAAGCTGCGGAGCCAGATGAGCTGGAATGGCAGTGTGTGGCTGCTGTTTAACGAAGGGAGAAGTGACACGCTTTTGGTTCTCGGCCGCTTTGGGAGGCTGAACGGGAGCAGGCGTGGGACTAAACTGCTGCTGCGCATAAGGTGGTGGTTGCGACTGAGGCCATCTCGTTGCAGCACCTGCATTTGGTGCTGGAGGACCGGATGGCGGCGTAGGTGATGCAGCCAGGGGCCGTTGGGGAGGTGGTTGGTAGCCCGTTGGCGGTTGCGGTGGTTGTGGAGGCTGAGGAGGTTGAGGAGGATGAGCGGCTGTGGGATGGCTCTGTTGATGTTGTGCGGGTTGAGGTCGGACCGGAGGGGCAATCGGCGTCGTGGAGATCGGCCGACCCGGGGGTTGGATTGCAGACCCTTCCGGTGGGCCCTTTACGGGGGTTGAATGCATCGGTGCAACCAGCTGCCCCTTTGGCTGCGTCTGTCCATGAGGCTGCGCTTGACCTTGAGGCGGTGGGCGAGCCTGAGATTGTGGTTGTGGCTGTGGTTGACCCTGAGGGGGTACTAGCATAGGTTGTGATTGCTGAGGATACCTTTGACCTGGACTCGGCTGGATAGGTACGTGTGGAGGATGTGAAGGGCCATGATATTGACCTTGAGGTTGAGAATACCATTGTGAAGGATGATGCTGACCAGGCGTAGGTTGTCCTGAGGTCACAGGCACTTGTGGAGGCATTGGGCGGCCAGGCGTTTGAGCAGTTGGCTGATAAGGCTTCTCCCACTTGAAAGTACCTGGGGTTGCTGGCTGTGCAGGAGTTGGCGGGCCAGGAGTACGCGTCTTCGAAACACTGTCCGGTCTGGGGGAAATCGCTGGCAGAGGCACTGGCGATGTCGACTGCCCGGGCCTCACTGGTGGTTGACCAGCGCCAACAGGGGGCTGCAAGACCTGACCAGGGCCATTGTGAGGCTTTGGAGGTTGATGCGGCTTGGAAGCTGGAGCATTCGCAGGAGCAGGAGATGCCCCGGCAGCCGCTGCTGCTTGTGCAGGAGGCGGAGGCGGCGGCGGCTGTTGGAAGGCACCCGCAGGGGCAGCCACATCTCGCCTGGCAGGCACGGGTTGCGGAACCGGTGGTGGTACCGGCGTCGTAGTCGCAGGTTGCTTGATTTGAGCTTGAGGAGGCAGAGGTACCGGTGTCGGAACTGGCACTGGGGTTTGCGTCGGAGCTGTGCTCTGTGCCAGGGCGGGTCTGATTTGCCTCGGTGGTTCGACATGAGGCGCTGGCATCGGAGGCTTGACCTGCGGTTGCGCAGCCGCGGCCTGCACAGGATTCGGGAGCGTAGATGGAACCGGGACCGGCGTCGGCGTTGTCTTGGGCCCTTGAGTACCGTTAGGAGCTGGCGGGCGCGGTGTTGCAGCCGCCTTCGCCTTCTCCGCTCTCTCCTCAGCATCCAAAGACGTTATCTCCCCAGCCAACACAATGAGTCGTTCCTCCTGTTCCCTGATGCTCTTCACAGCCGAATCTCTCCATCTGGAGTATAGTCTTTCCACGAGTGCCGGATACTCGGCGACCTGTTGCTTTGCCTCCTTAAGGGTGGGAACGGGTGGACGATTCAGTTTGCGTCTCTTAGAATTCGGAGAGGTCGTTGTCCCATTGGCGGTCGCCAGTTCCTCGGTCCAGACATTGAGAAAGAGCTGTCGGAGTGCGTCTGGGGTCAGACGGGCTGCATCGTAGGAGGCATCGGTGTTGATCAGCTCATTCTCGACGAGAGCTTTCGCGGCTCGGTCGAAGCCATCGGTGGTGATGCCGGTGCGGGCGAGCTCCTGGAAAAGGAACAAGGTCTCGAGAGGAGTATGGGCAACTGAGTGACTCATCCCCCAAAGTCCTCCTCGCCAGCGATCGAGGGGACCGTCGCGACTCTGGAGTAGATGAATGGGCGCCAGGTTCTGCATGTCAAAGGTCAGAGAGGTGTCATGTTTGATGGGGATCGCAAGGCTGAACGAAGGTCGCTAGGCAGGACGTACTGGCAACCGCTACGAGAGCTCTGAGTGGATCAGGGCATCTATCTGGGCGCGTTTGGGGGGTGTAGGGATGGCAATAGGAGCCACACCTCTCTGCGCGCGTCGTGGGCGTGTCGTTGGGTGATGTTTTTTTTTGGCTGCTGGGTGAGGATGATCACGTGATACAAGATGTCGGAGATGGAATTTTTTCTGCTGGATGCTGGTCGCAGGCGGGCCACTAGGCGGTCGATGAAATTTTCTTGTTGGTCGGTGGTGTCGGCAAGGTTTGGAGTATGAAGATGGGGAAACAGAACAGAATCTGGAGCATCCGGCGGGCGGGACGATCCTTTTACGCAGAGCAGCAGCTTCACACGCGGGCAGGAGGAGGCTCAAGAGTGACGGCTGGACGGGAAGGCACCTCAGCTCAGCTGGCCTGTCATGGAGCTGATGGTCACGTGTAAGCCTGCCGAGAGCTTTCCCTCACCAGAGGTCAGGCTTAGGTAAGGCAAGCAGCAAGCGGCTGTTCCTGCCTTAGGCGTAAACGCCGTCTCGAAATCCGATAAACGATGCACCAATAGGAGGCAGGAGGCATGAGCGACGACACCGACAAGGTGCCTGCGCGGAAAACAGCAAGGACCACCTCACCCACCAGTCATCACCGCCCACTGTGCCGCGGGTAACCTACGCCGTAAGCTGCGAAATGGAAGCCACGCTGTTTGCGGCCCGCCGGCGCTTCTCTTAGCCAGAAAACGGAGCGAAGTGAGCAGCAAGCCCAGCGCGCTCAGTGCCTCAGTCGACTGCTTAGTGCCTCACCCCTGCCATCAAAGAAGCCTTACCGCACCTTAGTCAGACCGATCAGTGGCTTCCCACGGGTCCCCATGTTTGAAAAGGAGAAGCTGAGGTGGCAGTTGCAGTCTCCAGTCCAGAGTCCACTCGAAAGAACAGCTGGCGAAGCCGGCCAATGGCAATGCCAAGGAATGGGCCGTCTCAAACCCTCCTCGTCCCGGTATCCCGGCCTCCCGCACTCACTTAGAGGGTCCCGAACCCTTTCGGCATCGCAGCCTCACCCGGCAAAAAATTTGGCTTTGGCCGGACGACAAGAAGCACGTCCCGGGCACCGATTCAATGTTGACGGAGCATCAGTACGGACACGTAAGGCATCCCGACGTCGCGTCAAACAAGGCCTCGGCCAAGGTGATACAGCTGGCGAGCCTGCCCAGACCATTCTCGCCGACGCCGGTATCAGGATGCTGCCGTGTACGAGTAAGGAAGCCGTGACGTCGTGGTCCGGTGCTGGACATGTGTAAACAACGGAGTGATGGCCCCGGAACCGTGCCCGTTCCAAATGTCCTGCCAGCAAAAGTCAATGGGTGCTCGCTGCATGCTGCTCCGACTGAGGTGCGGCACAGGATGCATGTTCCATAGCCGCATCCGAGAGGCGAAAAAAAAAAACCACACACACACAATCCCTCCTTATCAAAAGATGGCAAATTTTATATTGGCCGTCATTGAAGGGTCCCATAGATCTGCCGCATTATTTCCGGACAGTTGTTTTGTGAGTACAGATTTGCTACACACCAAACGAGAACAGCTTTGGCCAGATGCCCGTCTTCATTGTCTGGATTTCGACGTTTGCCCGAGAGCAGTATTCTCACCAGGTCGGCCGGCAATCACCCACTGCATCGGTATCCGCAATTGAGCCCGATTCACCAGCCTGTGAGTTGGGCTGGCTGTCCACGCAATGGACCGAGATGCGCACTGGGAGACCTGCCATTTTCGCTGATTAGACCCGAGGGGCTTGACTCGGCTGCAGTACCTGGAAGGGAAAGAATATGGATACGCAGGCAGTGTCTCCGTGTTACATACGCAATACGTACTACGGATACATGCTGAATAGCGACCCCTGAAGCCTGTGTTTTTCTCTCTTTCTTTTTTTAAGCTCGGCTGTCTGGATGCAGGTCAATGGCGGATTGCGAAATAGCGGCGGCGGCTCAAAGGATTGGACGCCGTGCGTTTTTGCGGGCTGGCAGGACCCCAGACACTGGAGGCTGCCCCGTCTGCTAGCCAGGCTGCTTGGCATCGGGACATGGGAGCAGACTTCGGGATGATGGAAGCGACGGGAGTCCATCGAAGAGGGGTTTTTTGATATCTACTGCTCTGCACGTTGCGTTGTCTGTTTCTGCAGCATATCCGGGGCAAGTTGCGGATATTCGTGGCAGTCAATATTTTGACACGGCTTGAACAAAAACGTGATGTAAGTTTTCTTGATATACCTACATCCATATGTGATGTGCCACAGCAACAATGCCTATGACGATGGAACAGCAAGCACGCAACCCAATTGCTGTCCGAACAATGGTCATGGAATGGATTCTCATTACCAAAGGACTGGCCGTCCAATCCATGCTGCTGTATTTGTTTGGCACCTTGGGCCCTCACTTGCACCGTCCCGTTAGCCGAAAACAGGCTCTCTGATGCCATCCAGAGACACGGCATCGATTGGAAACACTGTGGCAACTCGCTGGAAGGCGCTTCCCAGCGTCCGTCCAAGGCCTGGAGAGACAGCTGGAGGCTCGCGGCTACGGCTATGGTGCGCTCTCGTTGCAGCGGAGTCCCCGTGCAAATCTCGGGGTGAACCGGTATCTCAATTCCATGGCAGACTAGCGTGACAGCCTCAGGCAGCAAGCAAGCACCTGGGCTGGGCTGCTAGCCTGCCACTCACAGTGCTGTTGCCCGGCCAGAAAAACTTCGTCGACCTGCACCTTCCCAGCGAGTGAACACTGCAGTGTGTGAATTTGGGGGGAGGTGGAAGGGGGGCGGGTGGGGCCCCTTCCAGACTCTGGAGCCCCGAGAGGACACGGCGGACTGTGAGTGTGGAGACGGCGCCCACCTTCGCTCTCCCACCCTGAGCCTGTCTGTGGTGGCCCTTGCTCCTTTTTAGCGCGCCCGGAAAGATTCGCTCAAAAGCTGTTCCTTCTTCGGCCACCCTGCAGGAATTTTTTTTCCCTCCCTCAAACCTGCTACAGTCGGAGCACTTAAATTCTCTCGACTCGCACTTTTCCCTCACATCCTTCTCCTTCCTCCGTCCATCTCCGCTCATTCTTTTCTCCAAGGTTGATCTTTTGAGAAGATACCACAGCCAAGATGTCTAAGGAAGAAGTCCGCGTTCTGGGCATGCCGGTAAGCTTCACCCTCGCTTCCCCTCCTTCTCCCGACTGCGCGAAATAAAAGAATTGCCTCGCTGTCGTCGACGCCGCCTTCACTCACCAACGACCTGCCATCTCCCGCCATCGATATCAACAATGCCTTCAACTGGAAGGTTAAGGTCTTCGGAGCGGCGACCTGTTTTGATGCGACAATGGCCTATCACAAGCTTATCGGCGGTGGTTGAAACGACTCGATGCCAGCGACGACAATTCTTTTCGGCACCAAGCAATGGGATACAATCACATCAAGGAACAACAGCACGCTAACGTCTCACTCTCTAGCCCTTCATGGCCGACTTCCTCAGTACGTTCAATTGATCTCGACATCGACGCTTGCTCTCCTCAGCTCCCCGGTTTCGGCGAGCTAGTCGGGCAGGCGCGATATACACAGCATCATTCCTGAACACGAACTAACAATTGCAACAGTGGGAGGTGTCTCTGCCGCCGTCTCCAAGACTGCTGCTGCCCCCATCGAGCGTATTAAGCTCCTCATCCAGAACCAGGTTAGTGGGAACTTTTCTGCGATGTTGACAGTTGGCCAGCCAGGTCCACTCGGGTACCCCCGGTAAAATGTCACTTCGCTTGACACGTGACCCTGGCCCCTGTCACATTCAACCACAATCCATCAGCTACAGCAGCTAACAACCTCATAGGATGAGATGCTTAAGCAGGGCCGTCTGGACCGCAAGTACGATGGTATCGCCGACTGCTTCAAGCGTACCGCTGCCGACGAGGGTGTCATGTCCCTGTGGCGTGGTAACACTGCCAACGTCATCCGTTACTTCCCTACCCAGGCCCTGAACTTTGCCTTCCGTGACAAGTTCAAGAAGATGTTCGGCTACAAGAAGGACAAGGACGGCTACGCCAAGTGGATGGCTGGTAACCTGGCCTCCGGTGGTGCCGCTGGTGCCACCTCCCTCCTCTTCGTCTACTCCCTGGACTACGCCCGTACCCGTCTGGCCAACGACAACAAGAACGCCAAGAAGGGTGGTGAGCGCCAGTTCAACGGTCTCATTGACGTCTACCGCAAGACCCTCGCCTCCGACGGTATTGCCGGTCTCTACCGTGGCTTCATGCCCTCCGTCGCCGGTATCATCGTCTACCGTGGTCTGTACTTCGGCATGTACGACTCCATCAAGCCCGTCCTCCTCGTCGGCTCCCTCCAGAACAACTTCCTCGCCTCTTTCGCTCTCGGATGGCTCGTCACCACCGGTGCCGGTATCGCCTCTTACCCTCTTGACACCATCCGTCGTCGCATGATGATGACCTCTGGTGAGGCCGTCAAGTACAAGGGCACTTTCGACGCCGGCAAGCAGATCATCGCCAAGGAGGGTGTCAAGTCTCTCTTCAAGGGTGCTGGTGCCAACATTCTCCGTGGTGTCGCCGGTGCTGGTGTCCTGTCCATCTACGACCAGCTCCAGGTCCTGCTCTTCGGCAAGGCCTTCAAGGGTGGCTCTGGCTAAATGCCATGACAACTCTCCGTGTATAAACACTTCATCTGGTGGCGGGTTGGCAGTTGGCGAACACCCGGGCTGTGGGGATTCGTGGCTGTGGCTGGGATTAGATGAGGAAATGGTTGACAAAAGGGGTGGGATGGAAGTTGCGGAGGGACTTTGATACAGACATGGAAGGTTGTCTGGATCTGCTGGTCCTACGTGGTTTAGACTGGCATCTGGCAAGGCGTTCTCTTTACCCATGACCTGAAGAGCTTTGCTTGCTACCTAATCCACTGTAATTTGTACACTAAAGCAATTTTCGATTGCATGCCTTCACGCAACCCTGTCTCCGCTGGACTCGACCGTCTTCTGGTCTATCCTGATGGATTTTCCTTGGTATTGCATGACACACACGCTTGATAGACCCCTTCGTGGTAGAATGGGAAGATTTCCTTGGTTGAAACTTGCTCTGTCCCGTGTCTGTGATTTTGTTGTGATCTAGATCCTTAGTGGTGACCTCGCTTGCTTCCTTTCCTTGTTGCCATGTGGCTCAAATATTGAAAGCTCTGACGCCGCCCGGTGATTGGCTAATCCAGTAGTAGGCGCCCGGTCGTCGCGCGTGCACTCCAGAAGTCGCGTCTCGGCTCAAGCTTCCCTTGCCTTCCCCCACATGCTGCTACTCCCCGCCTAGATCGCCTGATCTCAAGTCAGATCAGATCTCGGACCTACTTTACGCTGCAGCACCCTTGACCTGACACCTGCCATTCCTCTGTTTACCTTGAGGGTCGGTCCTTCCCGAAGAGCTGGCACAGTCTTCTCTTTTCTCCGCAGGCCGTTCTCTCTCAGCCCACTCCTCGGACGTGCCGCAACACGCCACCCGCGCGCCCTGAACTACACACACGACGACCTCACTCTCCTCGACGGATACACCTGCCAGTCCCCCAAAGACCGCAAGTATGCCCAGGCCACCGGCGCAACCCGCCAAGCGCGGTCGCCCTTCCAAGTCCACCCAACCCACCTCGACCACCGCGTCCACAAAGCGCAAAGCCACTGCCCCCGCGCAGCCCCGCAAGAAGACGACGGGCCCGTTCGAGCTCTCCGACAGCGACGCGGCTCCTGCTGCCCGGGCTGTCGACGAGGAGCAGGAAGAGGATGAAGAGGAGGAGGAGGAAGAGCCCGAGGGCCCGGAGAACACGATTCCGCCGGAGCTGCTGACGCGGCTGCTGCACGAGTTCTTTGAGAAGGACGACACGCGACTTAGTAAGGACGCGAACGCGGCGGCGGGGAAGTACATGGATGTGTTTGTGAGGGAGGCCATTGCGCGGTGTGTGCACGAGAGGCCGGGCGGATTCCTTGAGGTGAGTGGCCAAGATGAGCTGTTGAGGGAACAGGGGAGACGGTTGCTAACGTGTGTTTAGGTTGAGGATTTGGAGAAGATTGCGCCGCAGTTGCTGATGGACTTTTGAGGGTGGGACTATGTGTTTAATGAGTTATGATACCCCGGGTTACTTGCTGCAGAAATGTCGGAGGAAAGAGAACACGGTGAGTTCGTCCTGTGGAATATTGGGGCGGGAAGTTATATCGTCAGAGATCTATAACGACCTTCTCGATCCTGATACCACATTCAGGCCATCAACTTACGCTTGTGTTGCTTTCGTCCAGCTCTTTTGCCTCATCGCGCCGTGAAATTCTTCTGCTCCCACATGCCGTCCTCGCATGCATATATAACACCATGTTTACTCCTCTCCCCTTAGCTCTTTAGGCAAAGTCGGTACCTTTAGCGGCCATCTCATCTACCTACCCCCTTTTTGCAGCCTGCCTTGCAATCAGTATGCTCGTCTATGCCAACAGTTGAGGTCGCCCAGACCTGTGAGAATCCACCAAGTATCTCACAGAATAACAGCAGAAAGAAAGTGGGGAGAAGTGAAAAAGCGTACGAAGTGACGCCATGCGATAGACGGGTCTGGGCTTTGATGTTTTGTACATCGGCGATTAAAGTCGAGGATACACGGCAGGACAATTCTGGTGGTACAGAGCCTGATTGCGGTGACGGATTCGGTTCAGGTGACAGACATACTGCCATTATATACATCATAGATGGCGAGCGTGGCCACAGATGCCCGAACCCCCCGTTGGTGGAAGACATACATTCACCTCACAGAGCGTCCAGACACCCGGGTAATTTGCTTGAGAGTCCAAACGCAAATAGATGGCAACAATTCTGCGTCCGTGAGCGCATCCGGGAGCTGTTCGGATAATGAACTCAAGTTACTGGCGTTGATCCGCACGCCGCATCCATAGATAATCGGCGAACGAATAAGAGGACCAGGAGTAGGGGAGAAGGACGCCTGATTCTACGTATTAAAACGCGCCAGTGCCACAACGTTTTCTGCTTGTGACGTCGTGTACTGCGATGTTCATGTGCTCATCATGGATCCAAACGAGGCAGACATTGCTGGGTTCTCATTGGGTTTCCCGCGATGTTCCAGAGGAGATTGATAGGTTTTATAAAAGTGACAGTCACCGGGATCCGCTCAACTATAGCCTTCTCGGATGTCATTCTCAGTTTAGGATTTAAGTGTTGAAAACCGCTCAGCTGAGGGGATCGACAGATGTACCAGCGACGTTAATTACGCGTATAAAAGGTAAGTTCGTGTTGAGAGTATATGAAAGCACACCAAGATGATGAAGAAGAAGACTCGATGTCGGGTTATGTGTGTGAGCATGGCATCCATCGACACATTATGTCCAAAGGCAGTTGTATGTGGATGAGAGTCGGAGACTTAGCTTGACGATATTGTACCCCTTCCTGTCTCTCGCCTCCAGGTGCTTAAACTCAACGTATCATCCGACGACAGTGTTCGGACCCGTCCTACTCCTCCGGGGACTGTGACTGTTACAACTTGTCTGTGGCGATGGTCATAAAGACAGGTGACGGACGAGATGAAGCCACGGAGTCAGAAGTATGGCCGTCTGCTAGGACAGTTGTTGGAGATCGAGCTTTGTTCGAGTTTGCTGTTGCTGATATACTCTGGTCTTAGCAGCTGCAGCTCATCTTCGAATTCGTCCCACAGTCTTTCCACGGTCTAGTCCTCATGATCACAGAAGGAATCGCTGCCGAGGCATTCGCCGAAAAGACATGGTCTTTATGATTCAATTAGCGAACGCTGACTTTTGATGACAAGCCGGCCAATCGGGGTAGATTTGGTGACAACAACCCGAATTTGTTGTTATTCGAAGTGAGTCCATGTTAAAGCGCTTCTGTTTCTGGAAGATGAGGATTCAGAGTATGCTGCAGTCTTTCGAGACCCCGTATTCCTTCAATAAATCGCCAGGGTCAGCCGCGAGAAACAAGGGACTGTGGCCAACAAAATTCAAACTTTGCAGTCAATCCATCTCAATGATTACAAATTGCTTTGCGAGATCTCCTGCTGATTCCGTGTACCCCGACTGTTCCCATGCTGAGCCTGCCCTTAATTTATGACAGATGGCCACTGGACTTCGGACTTGAACGGAAGTACTCGAAGAAACCCGAAAACCATTGACACCTGTAGCTGTGGATAGCTATCAGGTCGGGCCTGCGTTGGTGCTCTGAATCTGTTTCCCGGTAATGATATGTATGTAGTGGTTTCTCAGCAAGTATGGGAATTAGTAAGTCAGATAGACTGCTGTATGCTGCTTGCGCAAAGCTGTGTCCATCTACTCTTCCTATTTATGACCAATCTAGCCGTTTGCCGTTCTACCTTTAGCTTATCAACCTTGACCTACAGGACGCTCAGCCCTGCCATCGACAATTCCTCGAAGACTCTCCATGCGTACGATGGCCTGATGGCAGGGAAGAACCATCTGGTCAAAAGTGAAATGTAAATCCAGCAGAAAATAGAAGCACTCAACGAGGCCATCGGATTCATTGATGCATTCATGCCCAATACCGAAGGCATGGTGCTTTCTCAACAGACCCACACGTCACCTGTCCATCAGATAAATTTTCATCATCACAGTCAGTATGTATACACATAAGCAAAGAGTGATGACTGGGAACAATGCATGTTCGTATGAGCAGCCGTCTGCTCAGAAGGTTCCATGCAACATCAACCTTTCCGTGTTTGCTCGAGGTCATTACACAGCTTAGTTTTCTAACGCAGCTCCCAGCTGACGATTAGGAGTCATTCTGTCACATCATTCCCAGAACCTTGGGAATATGTTTAAGTAGTGTGACGTGGAGTGGGTAGCGAACAGCAACTCGCGATTAACGTCAATATACCTAGTAGTGAGGAATCTTAAGAATCACATATAAAAGAGGCCACGTCTAGGCAATGCAACATACTAGGCAACACAATAAGTCTTGTCCAAGAATTCATTACAATTTTCTATAGGAGCATGTCGACCAATGCGCCGAGACCTTGTGATACGTTATCAAGTCGCCGTGCTTTGGTTCTAGTCTACTGTAGCTAGCTCGTCGACTTCTGCCACCCTTATTCTGAGCGTATAACTTCTCATATTAGGGTTCCTAAGAGAGCGGATGTAATCATTTGGGGTCTGGAACCATTTCTATCTGAGTGATTCGAGCTTTCAAGTATCCTTGACCAAATGATCAACGGCCAGCAGGTAAGGAAATTGGGCTGCACCAGCCGCAAGCGTTCCGCACATGTTCAACTTCGTCGAGATTACCATGAATATGTATATTTCACCAATTGGCCTCAAATTTTGAAACCTGGGATCCTGGTTCATGTAATCTCAATTAGTAGATGACTTCAGGTCGTACTTATGTACCTAAAAGAGACACTGAGGAGCCGGTATAGTTTCACGGCATCTGAGCATACCTTTGCGGAGAATCCTATTATTTTGATCTAATGCGGCATTCAAAGCAACGGGGCCTAGGCGCACAAATGACAGTAGACAGCGTCCCCCTGAGATGGCACCATGAGGTAGGTGCTACTGAATGACAAGTCAAAGAGCAGCGGTTAAACTCTTTGAGGCCAAATAATGCGACATATGTTATGTCTGCTGTTCTCCTTCACCTCTTAGAAATTATTCAAACCTCTTTGATGGGCCCTTTAGCACTGTAACTGTTGACGCGCCACTTGTTCATTGTGCTGATCAAAAAGATGAGATTAAGCTGGTGGACGTAGCTGTGGAAGTCAGTCCTGGAAGTCGAAGCAGATTGCAGAGAACTGGAAGTGCAAAGGGAGTCCATGTATCCATATAAATACTGCGTCATCAGGAAAGAATGTCACGAGCGTGGTAGGTCTCATGACTGGCTATTGCCATGACGTCTCGCACAGAAGACACATGCTGGAAGTCGTTCTCCTTGGAATATATCTGGTCATTGTTTGACGATCATAAAAAGCACACAGACCTAAGTGACTGAATTTCAGAAGCTCGCTTGGGAAGGAATGAGTCCTGGTGTTGTAACAGATCTTTATGTTTAATGCGAGTAACAGTTGAAACTCTAAAGTAAGAGCACAACGAACCCGGACTGATACCTTTAGCATTTTCCTTTTTTGCTTTTCATCTTACAACGAAGTAGAAATCACGAACAAGTGCTAAGTGATGGTGAGCGGCGGAAAAAGGTATTTCTTAATAGAAGCTAATGCTCCTTCCTGTGAGCCTTCCAGCCTGGCATTTGTCCTATGTCTTGGCCATTCTGCATTGCGCTCAGATGAAGACCCGCGACCGAAGAACAAGGGTATCGTTTGCAATTGTCTTGAAGAACTTGAAATAGCTCGGACATTGACTCGACTTGATATCGAACTGCGCAATGTTCAGGTGGACTGTTGTCGCGATGACATGTCCGAGTACCTATTTAAAGGGCTGGCATCATTCTGGGCGAAAGTTTAAGCAACCAAGGAACACCCGCCACGCAAGCGAAGGACAATCGCAAGCTCAGAGTGGCGATGAATGTATCGCATTGGCTGTGTCAGCAGTCCATGCCGTCTTGCGATTGCGATTGAACCAGCGCCATCACCTCAACAATTTGGAAAGCTTAGGGCATCCTTCGTCGTCTTCCGTCTCTGATGCTTGTCTAATGTTCTTGACAGTTCAATGGCTAGAGTCATTCGCTTATGTGAACACACTGGGGCAGATTTCACGAAGCTCGGAGAATTTACGTTCAGAAAGACCAGATGCCCCCTGACTGCAAATGCTTCGCCCAGCTCGCTCGCGCCATTTTGCCCCTTCTGAGGACGTTTCTGAGCACCCCCTCTCAGTGATAGATGGCAATTCTGGAGAAGCCACAGTCCTGTGGACGATGGCGATATCCATCATTGTCCCAGGAACAAAATGCCACGAGCAAAAATATTACTCGTCCAGAGTCTCAGCAATCGGAGGGACAGAGGGCTGAGGACCTGGAGGTGAAGTGTTCGCCGGGCCGAAACGCTGGAGTCCATGCTACTTCCTTCCCTCATAGCCAACTCACCTTCCCACCTCCCGCAACAATGGGTGCGACCACCGTCGCAAGATAGCC